ACGGCTGGGTGCAGAGCTTAGCGGAAGGTACCGTTGGATTCGGAATGTCCGTGGGAAGCCATTTTGACCATTCGGCATCTTCGTGCGATTATAATTAGCCGAGATATTAATTAAAAACTAGATTTTCTCCCTACTTTTCCCTACGTTTTGTACTTTCTTTCACGGGTTTTCCCTTTATTTTAGGGATTTGGCCTGCGTGCCAAATTCGTTTTTCTCGAATATCTTCCGGAACGGCGCCGAGTTGGAATTCGAAACGCATATCCGCGGATTGCCAAAAAAATCAACGAATCCATCGATACCGGTTCCCATCTTCGTACGACAATAATCGGCGGAGTTATTAATTAAAAACTGAGAAAACGTTATTTCATTTTTCGGAGTGGCAACAGTCTCGAAATTAGGTGAGATAAAATTGCTTTTTCGAAAGCGCCGGGGGGGAGACAATTGCTTCCACTTTCGAGATTTGTGCTGGCGAAAGGTCACGTGTCAATTTCTTTTTTTTTTCAAATATCTATGGAACCGGCGCTGAGTTGGAATTCGAGACAGGTATCGCCGGATTGCAAAAAATTCTCGGAATCCATTGATACCATTCTCATCTTCGTACGGCTTTAATCAGCTGAGATATTAATTAAAAACTGTGAAAATGCTAATTTTCCCCCTCATCTTTCCGAGTGGCTAGTTTCTTGAACTGCTAGAGATAAAAATCAAGGTTATATTCTGAAGTTTGAATAAAACACGCGATTGCATGTTACCTCACTGTGTATTGAAAATATTTCGTTAATGTCAGCATTTTAGACTAACATTTTTTTAATTTCAGGTTTTTATAATTGCCACGATATGTTATTGCCACGTTAATTCTTTTATTACTATTGAGTAAAAGTTGTTATATTACATTAAATTTAAATAATGGCATTCTTGAAGTTGTACAATTTTAATCAGCTGAGATATTAATTAAAAATATTCTTGTGAAACAACTTTGTTGAAACCTTGTGCGGATTCTGTAAATTTAAACATTTTTTTTTCGTTTTGGGTTTTAAATTCAACATGTGATCCTTGGAGACGGTATATGAGAACTTTTTTTTATTATAAATAATTATGAATTATTAATCGCATTAATATATATATATTGATACAATTTTGTGTCTGATTATGTTGAAGTTTATAAAAAATAAAGGAATTTTAATAACGAATCTATTGTTTGAATAACAAACCCAAAAATTTTCGCGATTTCGCTTTCTACAACGTCCCATTAGCGGCACCGTAAAGTCAATGAACATTGGTAGTTCGGTCCAAATTTCGAATCCCGGCGAACGGGCTGGCTGCATGTGTGCTTTCGTGATTTTCCACATGTATATAGTATATTCAGTATCTTCTGGATGCATACATGAATAAAGAGGGCGCAGCCCGCTAAAAACCGCTGAACACTGGTAGTTCGGTCCAACTTTTGAATCCCAGCGAGCAGGCAGGTTACACGCGTGTTTTTGTGATTTTACACATCAGTATCGTGTATGCAGTGCCTTCTAGATACATAAATGAATAAAGCGGGCGCAGCCCGCGCAAGAAAGCTGAACACTGGTAGTTCGCTCCAGCTTACGAGTCCCGGCGAGCAGTCTGTTGCGTGGGTGTTTTCATGATTTTCCATATGTGTATCGTGGAAGCAGTGTCTTCTTAATATATATGTGCATTAAGCAGGCCCAGCCCGCGCAAAACCGATGAACACTGGTAGTTCGGTCCAACTTTTCAATCCCAGCGAGCAGGCAGGCTACGCATGTGTAATATGTATGCAATGTCTTCTGTATGCACAAGTGAATAAAGCGGGCGTCAAAGTCACTGAACACTGGTAGTTCGGTCCAACTTTCGAATCCCGGCGAACGGGCTGCTGCATGGGTGCTTTCGTGATTTTCCGCATGTATATAGTATATTCACTATTTTCTGGATGCCTACATGAATACAGAGGGCGCAGGCCGCTAAAAACCGCTGAACACTGGTAGTTCGATCCAACTTTTGAATCCCAGCGAGCAGGCAGGTTGCACGTGTGTTTTTGTGATTTTACACATTAGTATCGTGTATGCAGTGTCTTCTAGATACATAAATGAATAAAGCGTCCGCAGCCCGCGCAAGAAAGCTGAACACTGGTAGTTCGCTTCAGCTTACGAGTCCCGGCGAGCAGTCTGTTGCGTGGGTGTTTTCATGATTTTCCGCATGTATGCAGTGTCTTCTGGATACATGTGTGCATAAAGCGGGCGCTTTCCACCAAAAATCGATGAACACTGGTAGTTCGGTCCAACTTTCGAATCCCGGCAAGCAGGCAGGCTACAACGGGTGTTTTTTGTGATTTTACGCATGTGTATCGTGTATGCAATGTCTTCTGTATGCATAAGTAAATTAAGCGGGCGCAGCCCGCGCAAGAAAGCTAAACACTGGTAGTTCGGTCCAACTTACGAGTTCCGGCGAGCAGGCTGGCTGCATGAGTGGTAACCGCTAAACACTGTTAGTTCGTTCCAACTTTCGAATCCCGAAAATTTGCGGGCTGGCTGCATGGGTGTTTTCGTGATTTTACGCATGTGTATCATGTATGCAGTATATTCTGGATGCAAACTTCAATAAAGCGGGTGCAGACAACGCGAAACCGCTGGACACTGGTAGTTCGTTTCAAATTTCCAATACCCGCTAAATTACATTAGAAACTCTTATACACACGAACAATGAATAGCGGGCTTCAACCCGCTCAGCTGGCGGGCTTGCCCGCTAGTTTAATATTATTAACTGTCAAAAATAATGAAGATCTCAAACAAATGGTGTAGAAACCATACTATATTTATCTGCTAATGAAACTTATCAGTTGTGAAGTATCATCATTTTTCTTATATATCTCATTACTTTCAGTTTTCTGTTTGCTACATCAAAGAATTATGTCTCTCACTAGGTTTACCCCTTAACTGACAGTTTCCCTGTCAATATTTCTAACTGGGATAATTTTATTAAAATATTACTTAATTTTTTTAGAATTTACATTATTTACTCATTTCAATTTTTACCTGAGCGGAAGTAAAACTATTGTTCCAACAAGAAATAATACATCAATTATTACTTATTGTAAAAAAAAAAAAAAAAAAAAAAATTAAAGCTCTTATTTTATTCAATTTTTTTAACAAAAACTATCAAATTAAAACTATTAATTAAAAAAATAAAAATTAATATTTAGTAATTACTTAAATTTTGATGATTACAATAAATGTACAAGTTAAATTAGTGAAGTCTGAGCTAGATTCCTACAGGGAAAATGTAAGATAGGCTGTATATTCCCTGTCCTTTCACAAAAGTAAAAAACCATTTTATCGTGGGATTACTAATAAAATTTTAATTGAAATGAATTTGATAAGTAAATGTTTAATAATGAAACCAATCATTTAAAAAAGTAAACAGTATGTCTGCCATATAATACAATACTCACTTTTTTTTTGTAATGATACAGTTATAATCTGACATATAATGACTTCTTATGTCTTATATAAGGCATAAGAAATTTATTAATTTATTAATTGAATTATGTGCATGCTTTCTAATGTCGTTAAAATTTTATTAAGTACAATTGAAATGAAAAATATTGATTGGTAAAACTACCTATGATACCTGCTCTTACTCAGTAGTAAAATAAATATATACAAAGTCCGAAATCTGGACTCGTCAGGACTTCAGCAATTCTTGATATTAGATCATCATTTAAATCTAGTAAGATGGCATGTAGAAATTATAAAATTAGAAATAAGAAATCGTGATTTATGAAATAATGAAGTATTTATGATCTAATGGATATCAAAATTCACACAAACACACACACAAAAGCTTAATATTTGTTTACCTTATTAAACATTTCTTTCAATGTAAGTTGTTTAAGTTGCTTCATTCTTTGTTCTAACACTTTCTCTTTAATTCTGTGGACAGACAAAATCTCTTGTTTAATTACATTGTTGAAGTCCAGTAACTACTGCTTCGAGTATTTCGACTAACTTGTCAATCTAAATTTTCCCATTTTCAGTAACTTATCTGTCACTTTCTTTACTATCGGTAGCAGTATTTTCTGGATATAGAACCAACCATACTACAGATTTCACCATTCATTAATTAATGGATGATTGAGAAACATTGTCATCACAATGAAAAATTTCTTTTACATCATCTTCATTTATTACTGCTTCTCCACATTTCTTTACAAAATCCATTAATTGGAAAATTTCACCTTTGTTTTGCGATATCTGAAAACCTTTAAAATTAGTAGCTATCATCATCAAATTTAGCTATCCTTCATTATACATATTTGGCTATGCATCATGAGCTTGGCGAATAACGACAAATTGTTCTGTTAAACTTTATCTCGCTTCTATCGCACACTGAGCCAATTAAGCCCGAATTGTATTAGTTTAGTCATTTATTATACTTATGTCTATTTCTTTCATATTCTTAAAGCTTATCAGAAGTTCTGAATAAATAAATTCTCACATATACTTAAGCATTATTGAGATATCTTACCACCTAATGCAGTCTCTATGGTCCTAAAATTCTGCAACTCAGTGCAGTTATACGATTCCTGGCACTGGTTCCGGGTTTATGCGAATAACAAATCAGTTATTCTTAATTCAAATAGCCCTAAAGGTAATCTTTGGGTCTATGAATATCATCAACAAAATCTATCTTTAGCATATGGGAAAAAATTTTTGGTAAATTTTTCCTCGTCAATATTTTTTAGCGCATTTAACTTAAATCTGTTATCATTGCCAATCGTAATGTCAATATAAAAGGTTACCATACCAACATAAAAAAAGTGTTTAGGCATCACTACATGAGTCATTACTCAAGTTCTCATATTTTGATAAACATGCAGTGATGAAAGGAAAGTATAATAAATAATGATTCGCCAAGTCAGATCAATGACGTATCTACGTGGAATGTTTGCAACTTATTGAGCTAAGCATTCAAAAGTATTCAGATGGAAATTCCAGTGTTTACCCTGGCAGATGTAGTTCAACTCTCAGTCCCATGAGACTAACAACTACTTGACACTTTGCTAGCCATATACCCCTAATCCCATCAGGAAAGAGCATCATAGACAGTATGATGTTTGTTGCTTAAAAATAAATAAATAAATAAAAATAATAATCATGGGGGCGGAACCGCTATTGCTAAGAAACTTGAATCTGGTGCAAAGATTGTGAGGTAGGACTTTACCCCGAGCCTTCTTTCAAAGATTATCATACTAAACTTCATTTTTAATAAATGTTTTGTAATTATTTTGCATATTTTCATTAGTATATACGTTTTATCTTTGTATTTCATAAAATAAATCATCATTTAACCAAGATTAATTTTCAAAATTTTGCTTTTATATGAATATTTTTCAATTTTTCAACAACCTTTTTTTTATAACGTACTTTCATACTGGATGGAGGGAACTCTTTTACAAAAATTTTTTGCATTTTATAACTCTAAAATACCGTATTTCACGGCATATAAGACAAACTTTTCTTCCTAAATTTGGCCTTAAAAACATTACCTGCGTCTTATACGTAAAGGACACAGGTTAACTTTCAATACTGAATGCTATTTTTAGTCCAGATAAAGGTCTAGACACACATAACATTTTCTACAACTGCCATAATTATTTTGCGCATGCGTGAAACATCTGTCGCCAAAAAGCGCTACAGCACGAAGCTGATGTCGAAGTTCGAACAGGTTCGACGGTCACATTACGTCTATGCAGCCTTTCCTTCTTTACATAGATTTTCTTTGACTGAGGTGCTTAAAACTATTTGTTTAAAAAAAAAAAAAATACCCTGGAAAATATGACTACAGGAAACAAGAGATTAAGCTATACAATTCAGTATAAACTAGGAGTGTTAAAATACGCCAAAGTGCATGGAAACAGAGCAGCAGCAAGGCATTTCGGTCCACCACCTACTGAAAAAGTGATATGTACTTGGTGAGTGCAGGAAGATCAACTGAAGACTGCTAAAAAACAAAAACATAAAATTCAATGCCGAGCTCACTTGAAAATGGCATAAAAATGTGGGTGATAGATAAGAGGAAATCTGGGATAAGTGTTTCAACTAAAATGATAATCAATGAGGCCAAAGGATTTGCAGAAAAACATGGGAATCAGAACTTTTCAGGGTCTGAGGGCTGGTGCTACAAGTTAATGAAAAGGCCACATCACACCCTCACACCCTCAGGTAGAATGAAGCGGCCCTCTGTGCGAGTGAGTAAAAAGATCTTGGGAGGACGTAAAAGCTGAAGTAATTGTTAAGTCCTTTAAGAAGTGCGGAATCAGTAATGCTCTTGACGGAACAGAAGACAACGCATTATTCGAAGAAGGTGAGACTAGTGATGACAATATTCTCGTTTCCGATGATGATGATAGTGAAAAGGATTTTTATGGTTTTGAAAGTGATTAAAGTCTAATTTTATGATAGGTAACGTTTTCCTTGAAGTGTTTTTTGTTGTTTCTGCTTTATTTTGTACAGTCAAAAGTCGTTAATCCGGACTCGTCGGGACTTCAAGGATTCCGGATTATAGATCATCAGTTTAAATCTCGTAAGATGGCATGCAGAAATTCTAAAAATTAAAAATATGAAACCGTAATTTACGAAATAAAGAACAATTATGATCTAAAGGGTATCAAAATTTACAAAAAAAAAAAAAAAAAAAAAAAAAAAAAAAAGGCTTAATATTTATTTGTTTACTTTATTAAACATTTCTTTCAATGTAAGTTGTTTAAGTTGCTTCGTTTTATGTGATAATACTTTCTCTTTAATTCTATAAACAGACATAATTTCTTGTTCAGATACAAAGTTCCGCTGTTCAAGTCCCGTTTAATTGCTGTGCCAAGAATACCGACTAACTTGTCAATCGAAATTTTTTCGTTTTCACTAACCTCTCTGTCACATTCTTCATGTCTTTATCCATTTTTTGCAGCAAATCCACTTTTTGTTTGTTGGACATAGAAACATACTTTCATTTTGTAGATCCTTTGGAAGTTCCAGCATCGGAAATTCTATTTCACATAATCAAAAGTTCACGTTTACTTTTATAAAATTGCTCTTACAGTCTGCAAAAAATAATAAGCCGGATCCAATTCGAAGATTAAGGAACAACGCAATCATCAACATTAACTGAAATAGATAATGTTAGCTTATACCGTCCGTTATGCATAAAAGGCGCATGCGAAAACGTATTCTGCGCTTGCGCACACATATGCGCAGTTGTAACAGTCTTACGCGCACGCATAAACGCCTATGCGCATGTGTTCAACGTGACGCATGCGCAGAAAGTTTTTTGCTTTGAGGTGCGGATTATAGATCATTCCGGATTATGGGTATCCGAATTAACGACTTTTGATAGTTTGATTGCTTGCCATTCATTCATTTATTTATTATTGAAATTTACATATCATGTTCAAAATAGCTTGCAGTTTGTTAATTTTCCTTAATAAACAATATGTTTGGTAATTGCATTCAATGATTGTTCATTTGGCTTTTACGAAACATGAGAACTAAAAGAAACCACATTTTAAGTTATTGTGGTACCGCTCTATCACGCGGACTATTGAAACTTTTTTCCATGTGTGTGGCCTTCTAAACATGTGTGCGTCTTATATGCCGTCAAATACGTTATACTTAGATTTTTGTAAAAAAAAGTTACACAGCGAGAGGGTTAATAACTGATCGATGTGATAACTACAACACAACTTTACTCGAGACAAATCTCAAGTAATCTGAACAGGCTATGTTAAGAAGAATTTTAACATCTTGAGAAGAACAGCAGACACCATAAAGAAATTAGGAATGGAAAAACATACAATCATCCATACATTTTATCAAACCAGCAATATAACAGATTATTAAACAACATGAAGAGATATTTAAATGTAAGTAAGTGATCATAAAGATGAAAAACAATTCGCAATAAAAGACCTTAAATATCATATAAGCAAAATAATATTCAATGATTTTATTCACATAATCATTGATGTGTTAATGTGAATCTACTTGTCCACAAATGCATTAATATTTTACTTTGGCTTTTGTTGTTTTCAAAGCATTCATCAATTTTGCAAATTACTTTTCATTCTAGTTTTGCTAAATATTTGCTTAAAGCATTTAAAGAAATTTTGGCCATACACAAACATTTCATTATTCTGTTCGAATGCAGTACATACCTGATAATCTAACAAGAGAAGTATCGTGCATCTTACATTCTTGTCTCCAGGCCTTTTTACTTGAAAACCATCAGTTTCTGTAGTTGTTGGAGTCCTATGCCACTAAACAGCAGAGAAAAGCACACTGAAAGAACTGTTACAGAGATACGTTTAGGCTACATATTTTATTTATTATAATAAAAAGTCATTTATGGCTTGCTTCATAATATATGCAAACAAAGTGAAAGTCATATTGCTCTTATTAAATAAATACCTTTAAACAAGTTTTTCAATACAACTACTATTTACTAATATACTACATATTTCAATAAAGCAGCTTTGACACAAGGCACATTTAGACCTAATAGAAACAGTTGATATATATGCAACACAACTGAGAGAGCCTCATATTTATTTATATGAATCTTTTGAAAGTTGATTTTTAAGTAACTCAATATGAACTTTAATGCTGTTATAAATTAAAAACAATTCTTTGTGGCTCAATGTAATTTTTTTTAACATTTGTATTACTAGAAAAAAATTCATACATTGTTATAACTCTGTTTTACAACTGTTTTGGATGGAATAATACATCAGGGTTCATAGCCACATTTTAGTTAAAAAAATAAGCACATATAAGCACTTTCCAAGCACATTTTAAGGAAAAAATAAGCACCTGTCTAATTACATTATACACAACTGCATAACCTTAAAAGAAAAATTAGACTTGTAATTTAAAATATGAGCAACGCAATATTTATTAAGAGAATGAGCATTACCTCAACCATGGAAAACAATTAACTTTTTTTTTAAATTTTAAATGACAGTTCAATTTACAGAATCAGTTTACAATGAGAGGGAAAAAAAAAAAAAAAAAAAACAAAAAAAAAAAAAAAAAAAAACTATGCAGAACTAAACTATATTACCAGATTTAATGATGAAATTTCAGTTCAAAATACAGAAAATAAATAATAATAAGCCATATTAACTGTATTCACTTGGCACCTAATAATAAATACAATTTATTTTTCCACTCATACTAATATTTAAATAATTTAAATCAAAATTATGAACATTTTCTAAATTTTCATTGCATAACAGTTTGCCCTTAACATATATTCCAAGCAAAGTAATTTAAGTAAAAAAGAGGCACATTTCTGAAATCAGAAGACGGGATCATGCAGTCTCCTTTAACAGTAAAAGCTTAACTAACCCGCATACTCGGAAATTGCCAAATATTCCGGATAGTAACTGGAAAAAGAAGAGTAGGGGAGATAGTAGCCGTTCTTTAGATTTCTCGGCTAAATAAATGATTTTGACATTTCGATATGTGCATCACATAAAAACAGACCAACGGAACTGAGAAATATTCTGCTTAGAAAGCACAGAAAAACTCTTTTAAGTGTTCATAAACAAATCTCAGACTGAACATCAAAATTATCTCTGCAAAATACCGCAAACGTTATTGCACAATACGTGCGGCGTAATTCTTCCACATGTGATATTATGCAAACGGAATCAACAGCTGCCAGTATTCGGAAAATAAAGAACTAAATAAAGGAAAAGAAAGAGACTTACTAATCTGGGGTGTTTCCGATTCTAATTTTCAACAGACTGCGTTAAACTTCCGGAACAGAATCAATCTTTGCTTAGGTTGGGTAGACCGCAAAAACTCCTATTCAATCCAGATTGGACAGTGGAAAAAAAAAAAAAAAAAAAAAAAATCCGCTGCTTCAATATTAGAGATTTTGCGGAGAAAGGGGAGAACCTCCCAACCTCAGTACTGTAATGTATTGGGAGAAAAAAAAAATTCTTTTGACTATTTGATCACTTTCCTTTTATTTAAGCCATTCTGAATATTATTCCTTTAAAAGCTAATCTGTGTAAAAACGCACCCATTTTTTGGAAGATTATCTATACTTCACCAGTTACTGCAACGATATTATAAATATTCATGCATATACTCATAAGCATAACGATCATAATAAACACGAATATGAACTAACCACGTGGAACGAGAATGCAAATTATTAAAATCTTGACAGAAATTCAAATGTGTGTAGTATTTGGATGGGAGGAAAAGAATACCGAATTTTCTACTGTTTTCGCAATTCTTTGACCAATCGAACGACGTGTACCTGTCTGTACTCTTGCGCGCACCATAGGTTACATTAATGCAGAGAAAGTGGGGGGAAAAGCAATTTCCGGGAGTATGATTCACCATCTGACGTTGCATATAAGGAAGAAAAGTTGTTTATTTAGTTTCGGCTTTGGTACGGGGAAAAATGCGTGTTCATTAAAAAAAGCACTAAAAGCAAAAAATAAGAACTAAAAACAAAAAATAAGGGCTTTAAAGAAAAAGTAAGCACCTATAAGGGCCTTTATATTTTATTTTCAAATGTAAGGACTTATAAGCACTTGTAAGGACCGCTACGAACCCTGTACATATATCAAATAAAAATGCATAATGATATCTCCTCAGCTGCATTTTTGTATTAATTTACTGTAGGATATACTGAATATATCCATGCAGTCCATTTATAAAATTTTAAAGTAAGCCATTCACAATTGTTTAGCTTAATAAGATTCACGTATATTTTAAAGAAAATTATCTGATAAGCAAAGAGGTTAGGAAAAGGCTTATTCAAATCTATCTAAGCTTTTAGGAAAAGACAGGCTTATTTCAAATCTATCTAAAGTTTTGACAGCAGATATGATTAATGATTATTTATAGCACATATGCAATGGTGTGGAAAAAATTCAGAAATATGTCTTAGTTTATATTAAAAATGCCAATAAAAATATTTTTCCAAAAATTGGGCAATTTATTGTAAATTTGAAATAATAATAATAATAATAAAATAATAAAAAAAAACTTTAATTCAGCTTCCATGCAACTTGACAAACACCACTTTTCTTGACTGTTGCAAATTTGATGTGGAACAAGATGCAGTAGAATTCAGATAATCTGCACACCTGATCAAGGACCGTTTGGATTAGAGAAGTCTTCAGAACATTAAGTCATACTTTTTTAATTTTGATTACATTCTTCCATTCCTATTAATTTTTACATTAAATCTAAATTGTTTAAGTAACCACTGAGACATACCCATATCTTAAGAATTACATAATCAAGATTTACAGAATACAAAAATTTAATTATAAAAAAAGAAAATACTGCCAGCAGAAGGAGGGAAGATAAATGACAGAAATATTTTGAGGAAGTAGATAATTAAAAAAATCATTAAAATATTTCATGTATGTGAGTATGTATATATACATAAAAGTACATCTTTTAGCAAAATTACTTTCAAAATAATTATTATAACATGATTTACAAGACACAATAACACACCGAATAAATACCAATTCAGAAGTCAAACAACAAAAATCAGCATTATATTTACAAAATTTTCACAGGACTAGTTTCAATGGTTTTACCGAACCACCATCCTCAGCTGCAAAACCGCAATTTTGTAAATATAATGCTGATTTTTGTTGTTTGACTTCTGAACTGATAATTATTATGTTCTTAAACAAAAGAATACCCCCTCTTTTTTTCCCCCCCAATGGAAGAATACAACAGTTTCATTTTTATTTGATGGTACATTGAACATTTTTATCATTTTGAACAATGGAAAAGGAATGATTCCTTTAAACAAAAATAGAAGATGTCACAATTCTTATTATTTGATTTTGGGTTTGCTATATCATTTGGAAATAAATGCCATTATACTTGATGATTAATCACTGATCTAAATTGCCAAGTACTTTTAATTTACAATACTTAAAAACAAATAATTATTGATATTACATTATTAAAATTAATATATAATGCTCCTCATACCAAGTATTACGCATTTTGCTACAGAATCGTTAGTATCTCATAGGAGGTACTGTTATTTTCCCAAAGCAAATTTCATATCTCTGCAAACCAAAATTATTGCCACTTTACTTGCAGAAAAAAAACATAATGAATTTTTTACTCTACTACTCTTCGGCAATACTACTTTGAATGACTCATTTTAAATACGTAGCATGGGAAGGAAATTTCCTTCCAAAACAAACATCTGTGAATTAAACTTACTTAATTATAATATAAAAACACATAACAAAATTCAATGAATACAGAATTTCAGACCACACATCTTTACACTACAGTGCCTCCAGCTTCACTACAGAGTATTTTTGCTACAAATGTATGAATTTTTATGTTATGCATTCCAAATTTGTATGGATTAACTTAATAGATATTAGGTCTACAGTACATCGTTTGGCTAAATCATATTTTAGATATTAAACTGGAATCCAAATACAAAAATATCCTTTTATAATTTTTTGGAATAATTATTGTTGAACTTTTCTTATAAGTGGTAGAGCATAATTTTAAGCTCTTAGACTGCAGTTTTTCCTGTAAAACTTTCTGAGTTCCCTTCTTTAAGAATTAAAATACTTTTCAGAAAACAGACAGCAAAATATGTTGCATTTAATATTCAATGATCTAATTTAACATATGTGGTTTAATATTTTAGTGTTTAAAAACACAAATCTTTTTTCTGTTTTAAAAAACATGAACTAAAACATTTTTTTTTAAAAAAAGAGAGAGAAAAGAGGGAACATTAATGAATTAAAAACTAGTCTGCTGTTAATAAACTATAAATTTAATTTCATAAATTACATAAAAATATTATTAAATGATTTAGCAAGATTTTAGAGAAAAATATAGTATAACTCATTACATGTAACTCTAAAATACTATTTGCTGTCTGAACTGAAGCGAAGAGAGAAAAAATCATACCAACCTCAACCAAATGATTGTCAGGTCCATATAAATCTTTGTCTAGTTCAATCACTAAGCTTTTGAAAAATGATGAAAACTTTCTTTTTACTTTGCTTTGATCTGCTTTGGGTGCAGTAGGCTGAAATATTGGAGGAAAAAATGTAGATGTAATTCCCTATTTTTAAATTAAGATTAGAAATGGTCTTCTCTTTTCATAATAAATAGAAATACCATACAGTCTTGCAATAATTAAATAGTATAATATAATAAGTAAATATAAATATTTGCAAAAATATTTCATTTGAAAATTTTTATTCATTTTCATATTTCATAACAGTAATGAGTTGTTTTACAAACTCACATCATCTAGCAGTCGCCCTTCAACTCTAAGTTCCCATGAAGGAACTGTTGGTTCTTCGGATTCTCCTTCAGGTTTTCCAGGATAAAATGTGTTAGAAATAAAAATACGTAGTTTTCGTTTTTGCTAAAAATAAAGAAACATAACTAAAAACAGAAACATAAACTTCAAACAAATATATACTATAAATAATTGTAAAATAATACACCCCACCTAAAAAAAACTGTGATCTTCAATAATTTCATTTTCTGTCACTGAAAAAAACTGAATTTATATACACACAGACAAAGGGTTAGTTTGGTTTATTATTGGCAAAGCATGCGACGGCCCTCTAAGCGGATACGGGGAGGGGTGCCTAAAAAACTATGAAAATATCTATGCAGCCAGTCTATTTTCCTGGAAACGAATGTAGGTCAAACTACAGGCAGCCTTCGATTTTCACACATAACTGGCTCCTGAAAATGAGACATACCTTCCGGTGAAGCTGATTTTTCTCAGAACCCTCCCATTTAATCCAATACTACCTGCATCTTGTTTATTGAAAATGTCCAATTGCACGTCATTAGATCTGATAACCCCTTTATAAGAATACACTCTATTAAAAAAAAAATTGACGCACCAAGAAGGAATTGCCTGATGAAGATAAAAACTGGTAGATAGGGAAATTATTTACAGAATAGAAAATGATTAAAATTTCAGAACAACTGAATGATTTATACATACTTACAAGTAACATACAGAGAGTTACATACTATTTACAAAGTAAGAAGCTCAATAAGATGTTGACCCACCTCTAGCCTGGATGCAAGCTGCCACACAGAGTGATATAGACTGATAAAGCTCCTGGATGGTGTCCTCTTGCCAAATTTGCTCCAGTTCTTGGGCTAGGTCATCAACATTCCCTGGTAGATGCAGTCGATTTCCCATGCAATCCCTGCTCTGGGCGTCTCCAGACCGTCGAAGATCATCACGACACAGTTGGAAGCGGGATTCATCACTAAAGACTATACGTCTCCAGTCAGCATCATTCCAACCTGATAAAGCCAAGCACCACTGTAATCTGGCTCGACAATGTGCAGGTGTGAGTGTCAGGTGGCGAAATGGCCGGTATGAGCATAGGTTTCGTTGTGTCAGCCGTCTGTGAATGGTCAGAGTGGAAACTTGTGTGTGGGTTGCATCTTATAGTTGATAGTGATGAATCAGGTGCTCCGACAGCTGATCTGATAATCACTCTGTCTTCCCGATCTGTTGTGGCCCTAGGTCGACTGCTATGATCATGATGCTGAAATCTGCCATTATCCACCCATTCTTGCCACCATCTTCTAATCGCCGCATCGTTTCGACTCATATGACGAGCCATTCTCTGATTTGCCCAACCTGCTTCTTTCAAACTCCGACAGTTGTTCGTAATGAGCTTGAATCCTATGGCGAGGCATTTTTTCAGTCATTGAAAGGTATCTTAAATCGTAATGCAATAAAAAATTTTTAACAACAGTTCAAGAACAGCTCCTTATATACATCTGCTGGATGCACAGTTCTGATGAGCTGGAGATCGCACTATTCATTCATTGGACACCAAATTTTAATCATTTGCATATTTAGTCAAAACATTTACGCATATGAAATTTCAAAGTAACCGGATGATTCCTTCTTGGTGAGTCGATTTTTTTTGTTATAGTGTGTATATTAAAAATTTCAATACTATAAAATCTGAAATCAATGAAGATCAATATTATGAAAATTTGATATTAGCAACTATCAAATATCTTTAGGTTCATTTAATCCATGATATGCAGAATTTATTGATATTTACTTCAAACAGAAATATGTTTTGATATCTATATTTTCATACCAATCTTATGTGCTCCTTATATTACATTATCTGAGTACTTTTTCTGCACAGAGTTATCTTACCCACCATTTTAAATCATTAAAACTGTGAATCTGACCCTTCCTGCATTTTTTCGCTTATCTCTTAAGTGATAAACTACATTTTTTCCTTAAGCCTTCTCTTGTTTACTTAGACATCTGCAATCATTTTGTTACATAAGCAACAAACTGAAACAATAAGGGTGTTCTAGCTCTTGAAAATTATAGCAATTTCATTAAGAACTGATGTATCTGAAATAGTTAGCAGGATACTGTTAAACTAAATAATATCACTTTCACTAAAACAAAATAATTTAATTGATCTTATAATAATATATAAACTGCTCAAAATTAAATGTAAGATTTTATAGCTTCCAAGAACAAAAGAGCTACATTCAATTTGACACTTTAATGTTCTTAGCATTTATTCCATTAACTTAAACGGGAGAGCAAAAGCCATTCAAAAACTAAAATATAATGGTACCTTCATAGGTCTTTTAAGAGCCTCCTGAATATCAAGTCTCTTTCGCATTATAGTAGAGTCTAACTTCCTTTCAAATGTTAGAAGATCCATATATGCTTGTGATTCAGGAACAAGGTCTCGAACTTTCTGAGGTAAGATTTTTTCTGCTAGCTTTTTCTTTTTTTTACTACTACTACTGCTGCTACTACTTGTAGTTGGACCAGAGGTACTTGTAGTGGTACTGCCAGGTGGTGGGCCACTACTTAAAATTAAGAAATTCATTATTAGTAAATACACTCAGTATATTTCAAATTTTTTTAATTTCTGGAAGAGGTACAGCAGAGTCCTGCAAACCTGACTCCCGATATCTCGACATTCTATATAACTTGACAACTTTTTAGGAATTTTTTACAGATATCTCTAGGTCGAACGGAGCAAACATTACATACAGTACATATAATTATTATTTATGTGTGTCTTTCCTGTTCTGTTAAAAGATTTGAGTTAATTTCTGCCATTTTCACATTGTGCAATTCATTCTTGAAACTGACTAAAAAATTTCAAGATATGTTGTAATACTTTGCAACACTGTTTGCTCCTTTTGAGGATACGAAGAAAAAACAAGTAGCACCTAGCTGCTGGCTCACATTCCTCTCTACTGTTGTAAAATGTTAAGAGACTTGTCTGAAGTTTTGTGATTGCTCTCTTATTGCAAACTAAACTCACTCTAGTTCATTGCGGGTATCATTCCTCAGTTCACATCCAGGTGTATAAATGTTACAAATTTTTGGGAACTTTTGATACCCTGAAGTGAAAATGTTGTTACAAAAAGAAAAGAAAACAAATTAATACGACAATCAAAATGAAACTAGATGCCTTAAAGAGACTGGACAAAGGGGGAACGTATAAACAAAATTACCGTGGATTTAAGTGTTACTATTTTGATATGATGGGGGGAAAAAAAGAGGTCTGAAATCAAGTCTTGGTGTGTGAAAAAAAGAGGTCTGAAATCAAGTCTTGGTGTGTGAAAAGAGTATGTATGGATAGTTTAAAGAAAAGAAAAAGTATGAAAGGTGGTGAATACGAAAAAGTGAGTGAGTCACTTTATTTGTGGTTTAGGCAGCAATGGTAAAAGGGAACACCCATTTCAAGATCAATTTTAGAAGAGAAAGCCCTAAAATTTTATGATGAGTTTCAAGATGGACAGCCTGGATTTACTGCTAATGGTGGTTGACTTGACAGATGGAAAAAACGGCAGTGACACATTTGTTGGGAAAAGCTATCTGCTAACTTGTAAAATACTGCAATATTCAAGGATAATTTGCACAAGCTAATTGAAAAGGAAGGTATATCGGGAGATCAAATCTATAATTGTAATGAGATCAGTCTAAATTTTCGAACACTACCTTTGAAAATGAATCATCCAAGGAAGAAAAATCGGCACCTGGCTGCAAAGAAGCAAGGACAGAATCGCAGTATTGGCATGCAGCAATGCAACAGGCAGCCATAAGCTCAAATTACTGCTTATAGGTAAAGGAAAAAAAAAAAAAAAAAAATCCCCAAGCATTTAAAAATGTACACTAATATGACCGAAACAAACTACGATTTCCCTGTTTGGTACCAGGATCAGTTAAACGCATGGGTGAATGGAGCAATATTTAATGATTTGATTCATTAGCAGTTCGTCCCATTGGCGGAAAATGTTTTTAAATAAAAAAAAAATCTACCAAGGAAGGCGATTCTCTTTCTAGAGAATGCCTTATCCCATCCTGATGCAGAACAGTTACAAGAGCCATGTTTTTCCCTCCTAACATAACTTTAGTGAGTCACCTGATGGACAGAGCGTTTTGGAGGCACTGAAGAAAAAATACAGATGTAAACTTCTTTCATTTCTTGTCTTAGTCATGAAGTATCTTAGGGTATTTGTTCTTTTTATGGCTTCAATTGTGCTAGAACTTGACATAAAAAAAATCAACATTAATTTAATTGTGTGCCGTACTTTTCCGTGTCCAATATTGTGCTACAAATGTCTATAGTAATTTACAGTTAAATATTAAAAGAGTTCTAAAAAACCCACTTCTTATTCTGTAAAACTCGACAATCACTCAGTCCACATTATGTGGAGTTTGCAGGACTCTACTGTACTGAGAAAATAAGTAAAGTCATTATTACAGGCAAAAAAGACCTTTAAGAGAGTAGAGACAATTAATTGTACTACAAATTTTAATACAATCTAACAACCCCATAAAATATAGCTAACATAATAACCATTACATTCTGGCAACTTAATTACAAAAAATATAAAAATACAAATCAATTTAAATAATATAAAGCATAAACAAAGCCAAAAATTGCATCACATACAGTATTTTACATATAGCAGTTGTATTTACATATTAGTGCAACCGTAAACTAACAACTAAATAGAATTTTTCAATTATGCTCATAAGAGTTCTTCAATTTTAACAACAAACGTCACCTTTTTCATATGGGATCATTTTGTAATGTTCCAAGTTCCAACTTTTTTTAACGAAAAATCACATTTTTTTGCCTTTAACTCAATTTTAAACTAACCACAAATGAGATTTGCCTGCAGTGGAGAAACCGTGGAAAAAGTTTTGCAGGAACACAGTATTTTTCTATAAAATTTTTAAAGGGAACAATTACATTTAATCTATTCTTTACACGATCACAAAGAAACTTTCATCAATAAAGAATAAAAAATCCAATTATACGTAGGTTTGTTGTTTGATTTTAGGAATAAATACTTAATTAAAAGGTGAAATATATGTGTAATAAGTAATTTTCTGCAATTTCAAGTCATCATTCTTTTTTCTTCTGCAGAAAGTTGCCAAACTGTGCTGAGGTAGTTGCGATATTCATAGACTCCAACCTTCAGCAAACCTTGTCAGTAGGCAACGCGCGAACGACATTTTTACAACTTTGAAAATGTGCGCGTAGCGTATGTTGTAATTAACCATTCATTAATTTTAAATTAATAATTAATTGTAATCAATTTTATTACATTTAAAATCCATATACATATAAAACTGAATAATTAAAAATATACCTTGTAAATTATATGCACATTTAATTAGAAATTTTCTTTTAACTCCTCAAGCATTCACTAATAAAAAGTACTTCAAATCACTACTAATCATAGAAAAAATCAGAAGCTATAAATCATATCTTTATTCTGGATATGATTTCTACAGGGAAATAAAATTTAAATAACCAAGAATGATACATATAAGTATTAAACAAAATACGCATAATTTATGAATGCAAAGATTTATATGTAGCATGCTTAGCAAGCTTAAGTTCTGATTTTGAGAATGTTTTTTATAACACAGTTCTTCATTTGCCTGCATATTTATTTTTTCAATCAAAACTGCTTCAAGAGTTTTAAGACCTAAATTTGGTCGAAATTCCGTCTGATTTTTTTTAACAATACAAAAAATTCTTTCGCAAGCTGCATTTGAATGAGGTATTATTAAGACAGCAAGCATTACAGAAGGCAATACTTTGTATTTAATACACCCATTCATATTTTTTAATTTGGCAATTTCTCCCATGCTATATCAATACGCAAATCTACAATTTCTTTCAAATCATCTACTTGATACATGGAAAATTCAATTTACTACTTGATTAAGACATTTTTCATCAATAATGGATGGAAAAAGTATTTCATCAAGTAAAGTAAAGAACAGATGAAAATTAAGACTTCAGTTCTCAAGTTGATGTCAGCAACTTCAGCATGTTTTAGAAATGGATTCACTTCAGTGGAAATTTTATCAATTATATATATGAGCATGCAGTTACAAAAAAAAGCTCGCACAGAGACTTGAAAAATGATTTCACTTCCACTTTCATTTAAACTTGGCATTTTTTAAATATATTCTTCTTGTTTCCGCACCAATCACTAAATTTTCATTTCTTTTTGTTTACTATACTTCTGAAATGGAATAGATGTTAGAGTAAACATTCTTCATTTTCCTTTAGAAATTACTGATGGTTTTACGAATCTAACAAAGTTAAATTCATTAAAAGTTCAAAAAGTTCTCTTCTCAATTTATGTATATAAGGAGCTTTTGTTGCAAATTAACGAATTTACTGGTTAGAATATCGACTTTCAAAGTAATTTTTCAAAATTAACATAGTACAATTTGGTGGTCGGTGACTGTAAATTTTTTTAATGTTTTGCAATCTCTTTCCTTCATTCTCACTGTTATCTGGTTTATCTCCAAAAAAATTTATCACAGCATCCCACTGTTCCAAAATCCTTGTTATAGATTCTAAAAGAGACAACCATCTCGTACTGCAATATTTCAAAATTTTATGAGATTTTGCATTCTGTCCCAAAATTTGTTGAGCAACTTGAAGCTATGCTTCCGTTTCGAACTTTCTCCAAGTAAAAATTCATTATCAACATTTCAATTTCTGAGCCAATTAATTTTTCAGTAGCTTTTTTTGCAGCTATATGCAAGAGGTGGCACGGACAACCTCGGGTGGATTATACTTGGTTGATGCATTTTGATAAATGATGCTACACCTTTAAACTTTCCAATCATATTACTAGCATTATCTGAAGAAAATGATAAGCAATTTTTCCATTCTAAACCTTTGTTTTTAAAGTTTTCATTTATACAATTAAAAATACCTTCTCCTGTATTATTCGTGCATTCTAAAATAGAAATCAATGAAGTAATTATCACTCCCTTTTCTTTACTGTAGTATGTTATAACCAATGGGTACAGTTTGTTATCATTGTTATCATTACTCCCATCAGTACTTAGAGAAAACGATGTACTGCACACTGATTTTATAATATCAGCAACAGTATTTTCTGCAAGCGTTTTCACAATAGCAGCAGTTTTGGTATGACCGCAGCTAAATTTTTTTGCTATGGCAGAATCCGGAAGCTCTCGCCGTAAACTACACAATGCAGCCGAATGCAGCCTAAACACACATCAGCGAGGAACCTGGGAGACAGATACAAGTTGGAGACATAGAATGTCTATGTACAATACAAATTCTTTGGTAGAGATATGTTGTGGGGTAACTATTGACAAACCATTAACGGTTGGAGTTACTGATCTACGATTGGCTAATTCTTCAAAACTAGGAACGCACTCAACACGTGATATATGATAACACGAGTATTCAGCCAATCATCGGATGAATTAGTTGGTTCCGTTTTGCGTACTGGTTCTCCTGCTCTTGTTTCTGTAAAATTCGTAGTTTTTTCCATACTTTTTG